GCTAGGCAGAGCACAGCAGCCTCATGTAACGATTGCCTGATGTGAGGGACAGATGGAGTCTGGGGCAGGGAGCAGGAGGGCAAGAGCCCCCAGCCTGGACATCACTGGTGGATGGAGACTAGCTCTAGGCAGGTTTTGTGAAGGGTCACTCCTCTCCCCTCCAGGCAGTGCGTATTCACACCACACACTGCAGCCAGCTTGGGGTTACCACAGCTCATCACTGCAGCTGATTTCTACCCAAAACTGCAATGTCTTTTTCCAGCCCCTCCACCCACTCTGAATGGTAGAGGAAACCACAGCCCTGCAGATGAGGGCTGAAACTTCAGGTATCCGTGTGAACCTCCTGGCTGGCTGTGAGCAGAAACCTTTCCTTGTCTGGCTCAGAGGTAAGCAGGCTTTAACCAAAACAGGCAGTTCAGCAGAGCAGGGAGAGGGGAGCAGAGCAGCCAAGGAAGTGTGGATAACATAAGCTGCAGCCCAGACCTGGACAAACAGCCTGGTTTACAGCAATACAGACTGAGAGTTATCCTCTGTGGGCACAACACTGCTGGTCCCACCTGCCAGTTTGGCAGAGAGCAAGCGCCACAAAGATTGCTGGCTCCCAGGCCAGCTGTGCCACTGCACTCCACACCAAACCAACAGCACAGCGCCTTCCCCAGCCCCCTGCCACCAGAGCAGAGCCACAGGGCAACCAGCTGCTAGGGGCTGCACTGGCCATGCCTGGGAGGAAGCTGAAAGCAGTAAATAACTACTAACATTAGCAAACACCAGCTCAGACCAGCAAGGGGGAGGTAAGAAAAGGGATTCACTCACTCATCCAGGACCCTGGAAGTATCATGTCACATATGAGTGTATGGGCACAAAGCAGAAATAGGTTGTGATTCTGGGCCTTGGCTCTGGAAACTTCCTGCCACTAGGAGATTTTAATGCAAGAAAATAATGCAGTGATGCATGACGTATAATGGAGTGCCAAGACAAAGATTCCCCGAATTGAAGCGACATTCAAGCTCAGTTCTCCTGAGACATGGCCCTCAGGCAGAGGTTGCAGTCAGTTTCTAAAGATAGGTGCAATTTCCTGGGAGACCTGCCTTGCATGTAGTGGGTAGTTTCCCCTCCCTAAGAGCCATCTGTTTTACAGAAAACCACTTAAAGCAGTACAAAGACACACAAGACACACAGACATGCACTGAAAGATAGAAGCAGCACCTTGATTTACTGTGGGACTAGAAACAGCATATAACCCCCTCCTCTAGATCTTTCCGCTTTTAAAGCCCAAGACACAGCTCTTTCCTGCTGCCAGCCCTCTGCTTTCCGACATCTGGCAGGGTTGCAAAGGTCAAATGACAGAGCAAGTTGGGAGATATGCAAACAGTTAAGCCTTCTTTTTGCTGAAGTCATATTTGAATTCCTGCAAAAATAAATAAATAAATAAATAGAGAGGAAAAATCCCAAAGTGCAGAGGAAAGAACGTTATACGAAGATGCCCTCTGCCGGTCACAAGCCGAGGGAAAGCCATCCAGCCGAGCTCCATTCCAGTGATTTGCAAGTTCCCTCCCTCCTTTTATAGATGAACCCCTAAAAATATTCCCTATGGAGGAAAATGTGCTGTAAAACTTGAATTCAGTGGTTTTTCCCATGACAGCTGAAGTGATCTAGCAGCAAACTACTATCAAGAGCAGTCCAGCCTCTCCTGTCCTTCGTTTTGGATCTTACAATCCTTGGCTAAGTCAAATAGCCTCAGTTAAAAACCAATAGGAAAACAAAAGCACTGGGAGAAATGTTCTGCCAGGTTGGTCAGCTGAACTGACCCCCTGGCTGCTTTGATGTAATATAAGTAGTGATAACACAGGGCTGGGGAAAATAGGGACACATCCACATTATTTGAGACTGGCATTTGAGATACAGTCCACAAGTCCCTGCAAGCTGAATGTAGCATTTGCAGTCAGTAATACTATGAGCTGAAAACTATTTGAGGCACTAATCAATTCAGAGCATGTTTTTCTCTCTCAATGTCATTTGATTAAAGTTATGATTTTAAACAATTTCTGAGAAGTATTGAGAGCTTGCTCAAATGATACAAATTGCAGATTTTAAATCTGTTAAGTCAGCCTATTAAAACAATCCAGATCTATTGCACACACACATCAGTATCAGCTCAACTCTTCCTTTTATCAGTTTAATTCCTG